AACATAGAAAAAGTATGTCATAACTTTTCCGACAACCCAATAAATAGATTTGTCTGCTACTTGGCAAACCTACAGATAAAATACTCTTTATGGAAGATCAGTGGCCATGATCCCCACATTTCCTTAAATAAACTTCTTTATTAGGCCTGTATAATGCTATGATTCTAACATAGCCCTCAGAGAACATTAATATGTGGGGGAAAGAAATGGGATTTTACAGTCAGGAGTTTTGGGCATCACTTTCCCTTTCATCTGAAAGCCAGGTCTGGTCCTGGGGCTACAAAGGCTCAACACATAAGGGCCTAAAAAGGAAACTGGAGAGATGGATATTGGGAGGACCAGTAGAAAGCAGTCCAGAAACCCTTCTGAGAGCATCCCTGGCGAAGCCTGCTGATGGGCCTGGCTGGACCACAGGGGTGTTGCATGGAGAAAGCCCGCCCCCTCTAAGTCCTCATCTTAACCTCTCGAGCCGATCTTTCTGATCAAATGTTTGCTCCTACCCGCAACCTAAACATGACCTACAGGCTCCTGTCCCACTGAGACTGCCACAAAATCAAGAAAACATGGAATCTCATCCATGAAAATGACCCTAGAAATTACCTAGGCTGGTGGTTCTCAGACTTTTTTTTTGCCTCTGGTCTCTTTACACTTTTTAAAATTATGAAAGACTCTGAAAAGCTTTTGTTGATGTGGCTTCTATCTTTTGACATTTACTGGATTTAAAGTCAAAAGTGATAGAAAACATTGATTTAGTCATTTAAAAATAATAAACTAATTACATGCGACTGTAAATGACATATTTTTAATGAAAAATAACTATGTTTTCCAAAACATTTTAATGGGAAGCGTGGCATAGTTTCATATTAAGCAAATCTCTTTAATATTTGACTTAATAGGAGATAGCGGGATTGCCATCTTTGCTTTCTACATTCGTTGTGGCATGTTATGTTGGTTAAAGTATATGAAGAAAATCCGGCCTCACATAGATACGATGTTGTACAGGGAAGATGTATTTTAATGGCCATTTCAGGTCAGCGTGGATACACTTTGTTACCACACCAAGTTCCACTAGTCAGTTTCTGAAAGGTCGGCTGCATTCAATCATCTGAAATGATATCAGTGAACTTTTTGTATACTCTGTGACCTCAAAATCTATTGGTCTATTATGCACTCCTAAATGAGATTGTTTTTTATCCCATGGATAATTTTTGATGTTGAATGTTTTTGATGTTGATATTCATTTTTCTAAGAGGAAACTAAATGAAAGCTTCTCCTTGGTATCAAAAAAAAAAAGGAAAAATCAATATAGGAAAATGAGCTGTGGCATAAAAGAGCAAGGGTAATCAAAGTGACAATTGGGGGGATGATGGGACAAATGTACAGATGAAGATTAGGGCCACCTGAACGACTGTTAGAGGAAAGGAAGGAAAATTAAGACTACAGTTTTTAAAAGTTAGCATTTTTGGAGCGTTTCCCAGTGCCTAGTAGACTTATCTCATTACTCCATTTTCAAAAAGGTCTGCGAGGCAGGCTGTGTTATTCCTGTCTCGCAGAAGGGAGCTGTAGTGCGGAGGACGCTTAGCTATGAAATGGTGGGACTAGCCTGGAACCAGCTACAGCTGACACGGCAGCTGACAATCTTTTAAAACATACGAGTTTTTGTTTTTTGTTTTTTTTTTAATTCAAAAATAAAATATAAACTCTTTTAACAAAGAAAAGTAGAAGGCGAAAGCCTTTCGCTCCTGGCTCTCCACTCTCCCCCCCCCCTTCTACTGCCAATAGTTAACAGTCAACGCAGATGCTGTATTTTCACCGAGCCCAAAGCACCTGCTCTTAATTCCGCCTCAGCCCACTTTACCACAAGGTGAAGGGACAACAAAGACCAAGATAATACAAGATAACTCATGTCTCAGTGCTAGTGTGTTCACACACTCCCCAGAGATGTCAGGTTCTGGCTACTTTCTAGACCTTCTTAGAGTCGTGGATTCCAAGAATTTCTCTGGGCCCGTTTTTCACTGTTGTGGAAAAACAATACAAAGGGCGGGACGGAATTGAAAAGGAGATGAATGGTGAGTGTTGAGTGCAGAGATGCCGGCTCGCTGGCTGCCCTTTGTGGGCAAACAGAGGTGCCCTCGCAAGAAGAGCAGCCGGTGCTCAGTTCCAAAAGGATCCGCTGCACAGCCCCTAGCAGATTTTTCTAGAAATTAAATGCTTGGCAGTGAGAAGTCAGTTATGAATTTACCTGGTTTTTTGCCCTTCCAAACATTACTAAAATGACTTTCTTGGCTATTGCTTTAATTTTTTTCAAAAGTATTAACCAAACTATCTACCTATTATCTATTAAAATAGGATGTGTTCTTTTTATGGAGGGGAGATGTCTTTCTTCTTCTTTTTTTTTTTTTTTTACTATATGAAGCATTTATGACTGGGGAGGGTGTGGGGGGGAAACTGTACCTGTGAAAACAATCAGCTTTGTAAATTGTAATGGTCATTGTCACTGTCTGTTGAAGGAGCCATCAGAGGGAAGGGAAGTTGTAACTTGAAGCCCAGAGCAAAACAATATGCACAAAACCATTCAGCATCCACAAGCAAGAGAAACGCCTAAATGTTTCAAAATTACAGTGCCGAAAGCGTTTCTTTTTAAACATTCATCTTAGGAAGAGCCCGTGAAAGGGGATTTTTCTTCTTTTCGATTGAGTCAGTATCACTAATAATAATGTGTTGGTCCCTCAAAAAGCCCCCTGAAGAGTATTTTTCAATTTACTCATTTGTTACTCAGTACTTTTTACATTACATTTCTTAGACATTTTCCCCCTCACCTTTTCTCTCACAGCTGTATAATCAAGTTGAGATAACCCTAAGGACACACTTCTTTTTTTTCCTCTTAACCCCCTCCGTTCCCCAGCCCCAGTTCCTATTCTCCAACCCAAATTCCTAAAGAAAAATGATGAAGGGGGAAAAAAAAAATAAGGAAGGCTTTGGGATGCCTTCCTGCCACTTAGAGTAGAGCACAGGAGAGTTATGGTAGATCAAGAAACGACTGGTTTGAGGTGCCTTAAGCCTCTCCCAACAATCACTAACATCATTCTTGGCATTGGACTTGTTACAGGAACCATGAAGCAAACAAGTCTTGAGAAGATTCTTCTTCTCTGTAAATCATATGATTATAAAGTGGCAATAAAAGTGAATTCACAGGGTATAACACTCCACACATGAGTCAGTGAAAAGCACCACCTTAATGTGTGTTTCTGGGGTGGGGGAGGGGACAGGCAGAGTAGGGGCAGGAAATCAGAGCTTACCCCTGAAGTGTGCTGAAAGAATCTAATTATAGAAACAACTATTTTAAATATTTTTTTTAATTTAATGACTATTTACCTTCATATTTCCTTGTTTATTCAAACGCTTGTTCTTATCTGTATTTACTACACGTAAAGCCTATGCTTCCTTTTTCTGTTTCTGCTCTTGTGGGACACTTCTCTTTTACAACTGGAATCAGGCACTTCAAAACCAGACTCAGTCTTAGACCGGACTCCTGAAATGTCCCACCTGTTTAAAAATGTCCCGCTTGGCCAAAGCATGCCCTCCCGCCCTTTCCTTTCAGTGGTCAGCATTTAGGGTACTGCTCACTGCCTGTGAGAAGGGTTGCTTAAATATTGTTATCACAGTTTTTTTTTCCTGACAACCATCTTCCCAGATAGGCACCGTTATTACCCCATTTTGTAGACGAGGAAACCAAGGCTTAGAGGGGTTGCATAGATAGAGACATTGGTCTGTGTGGTGGCAAAGCTTGGATCTCTAGCTGGGTTCCATAAATATTCAGGCTCATGTGAAGGTACTAGGCTGCCTCTTCCTTGCAAAGGACCTCATTTGCTGGAAGCTTTGGCAAAGACCTTGACTCGGAGCTTGCCTCCAGCCGATACCCCACCCCCAAGAAGCCACCTACCCAGAATTTGGGGCCAGCTGAAGTGCCTTAGACCAAGCTAGGCTTTCCTGTCACTAGCTATTCCCTGAGTACTTCCTCCCAGAGAGGCCTGATGCCACAGAAACTGACTAATGTAAATCTTGGGCTTAGCTTCTTCAGAGGATGAGGATGGGATTAGGAGGGCTGGGGGAATCCCTCTTGGGTATGAACAAAAGCGCAAGCGAGCAGTGCTCCAGAGTCTGGGGTTGGTTTAGTTCAAAACAGGAAGTCATGCTACCCCACCTCCCTCTCACCTCTTAAACTCCACCTGTATGTTTTCTCGCTGGTCAAGAAAACTGCCTTCCAATTTCATAAAGTATACACTCCAAATAAGGCAGTTGTTTAGGTAGTTTATCCTTCATGCTTTTCTGTGTTCTACAAAGAGAATGTTGCTTTTAAAGAAACCAGTGTTGAAAAAAATTGTATCATGGGTTTACCAAGTTATTACCTCCTGTAAAAACTGCAGTGAAAAGGGAAGAGACCAAACAAGGAAAACGAGGTGGTATACATTAAAAGTGCTATATAAATATTATTTGTAAAATGAAAAGTTCTACTGAAATACAAATCAGTGTCTTGTATTATAGTTTTATTTTGCCAGTTAGACTGAGATCCCCCACTTTGGCGGGTGGGCTGTAGGGGGTTCTTGAACTCTTTCAATCGTAAGCACTAGAGTGTGCTGCTTTGGACTGGAGAAAGCTGTGTGTGTGTGTGTGTGTGTGTGTGTGTGTGTGTGTGTGTGTGTGTGTGTGTGTGTGTGTGTGTGTGTGTGTGTGTGTGTATTACTTTCTTAGGGCCTAAGAAGCCTCCAGTTCTTGCCTTCCATTAACCCTTGCCTCAGCAAGAATTAGAATCATAGAAATTAACTGAGAGTTACATTTGGAAATACAGTGAGCCAAATGTGGCCACTACCATGCCCCGGGCAGTGACCCAATAATCTCTGTCCAGAGCAAAGTGGGCACCTTTAAGTTAACTTCCAGACCAGACTCAGAAAAGGACAACAAAGACCACATTCCGACTCGCCCTGGGGCACTCACTTTTCACAATGAGTTTTATTATTCATAAAAAAATAAATTTATTTACATTTGCTAATTACTATGGCAGTGCAGCCTCCGGCGATGTTCCCCTGGGCAGGGTTCCTAAGTACCGAACAGACTCAGCGGCTCAGAGGGAGAAGGAACGTGGGCAAGGGAGGCCATGTTGGAAGAGGGGGTGACTGGAGCTTGAGGAGGGGGGGTCGGGTGGGGACAGTCAGCAGTCAGAGGCGGGTCTGCAAGGCGGTGGAGAAGGGATTAGAGGGAGGCCGAGGAGAGCGGCGCCTGGGGGTGGGGGTGGGGTGGAGGCTCAAGCCTAGAAGATTGGGGTGAGTGGTAGACCAAAGCCTGGTCAGGAAGGGGAGGGAGCCCGCAGGCGCGAGGGGCCTGCCTGCAGCTGGAAGGCTGCACCGCCAGGAGCGCTTCGGGCAAAGCCGGCTCGGGTGGTCTCTGACTGGCGCCTTCACCGCTCCGGTTGCCTCCCCGCAAGCGGGGTGGACGCCCTCCTGTCCGCCTGGAGGGCGCTGCCCTGTGGGATACCAACCCCGCCCAGGTATCCACGCTCCTCTCTGCAACTGAAAAACCTGCTCGTTGTCGGTCTCACGTGAAGACTTCTGTCTTTGAAGCCAAGCCTAACCCTTAAGGCCCGGGCTGTGCAGCGTCGTCCCATCACGTATAATGCATATATGTCTGGCTCAGCTTGGAAACCAGCCCCAGGTGGTTTGGCACGGGGCTCTGCAGGCAGCGCCGAGGGGTTCAATCTCCACTGCTAACGCCGGAGGCTGGGTCTGGGTCCGCGCTCCTGGGACCCACAGAGGAGGCTCTTTGTGGAGAGGTAAAGTGTGATGGTCCAGATATGCCGCAGTTGTAGCCATGGGCTCCCCTCGATGACAACTATGCCGCTGACCCTGGGCTCTGCCCCCCTGATGCCCGCCACCTGTCTGTCGTGTTCGCAGTTCATGGTGTAGGAGAATCCAATGGAACTTTCTTCCTGGGGGTTCTCACGCAGTCTCCCTTCTCTCTGGTACCCCCAAACGTAAGTGTTTCACCATCGAGTGAGTTTAAGTTCAAGCTAAGCGGTGGTCCCACATAGCCTGCTGGCAGCGGAAACTTCTTTGGTGTCAGAGTCGGGTCGTCCAGAGACCACAAATGGCCACGTCTGTAAAAATCAAAAAGAGCATCAGGTATGGGAGGAGAAGGACTATCTCAAACCCAAACCGCTCTCCTAAGTGAACCCTGGGATATCCCTGGCTTTGAGGAGCTCAGATTTTATTAGTATTTGGGGAATTTTCATGTCTTCTCTCTACACTAACATTTTAATTGTACTGGATTTTGATCCGTGTGAGAGGTGAGGGGTCCATCCATGCTTCCTCCTGAATTGTGCCCTCACGATGATTTGTGGAACTTGCAGGGGTTGGGGATTTTGGCGTTTAATTCCCTTCCCCCCAACACACAAACACACACACATACACACACACACACACACCCAGCCCGCTGCTCCAAGTACGAACTGGGATAGCATCTTTCTCAAACCGGGAGAGTTGGCAGGTCAGAGAGGGACTTTCCAGACAAATCCCGTTTGGGGAAACCTCTGCTATTCTGCAAGAATTTAAAAACCCAAAGACTTTTTAATAGAGGTCAGCTTCCCTCCTCCTTTTCAGAAAGCAGGGCTTGTTGAATCAAACCTGGCAAATTCTTGGCTAGAAAAAGTTGGGCGAGGGAGATTGGCCCTTCAATCTGCAACAGGGCAGTGAACTCAAATGGAACCCAGATTCACCCCGGAAGTAGGATGCCGGCCAATAGCTGTCACTGGACACCATGTACAATGACCAGAATAATGCAGACACAGAGGGTGGATGGTCCTCCACGGAAATGGCTGGCCCCTCCGGTGACGGGAGAAACTAAACCTGCCTCCGCACCACCCGCACCAGGAACCCCCCTCTCGGGTCTTCCCAGCCGGCTGACTCGCATCTCAGCCTCACGCCCCAGGCCTCGCGCGCGGCGCCCCTACCAGGTTCACCGGGTGCACGTAGCCGTTCTCGTAGCGGTCCTCCTGCAGCAGCTGCCGCAGGTGCGCGATGTAGCTGGAGGCCAGCCGGAGCGTGTCCAGCTTGGAAAGTTTGGTGTCGGGGGGCACCCAGGGCAGGCTGGTCTTGAGCCTGGAGAAGGCTTTGCTCAGGACGCGCATCCGGGCGCGCTCGCGGGCGTTGGCCGCGTTCCGCTGCGACTGCTTGCACTCGGCCGCGGAGCCCTTGGGCGGGAGGGGCTTCTTGCCGCCGCCGCCCCCAGCCACGCGGGGCCTCTTCGTCTTGCAGCCTCCCGCGCCGCCGGCGGCGCCCAGCGCGCACTGCTCCTCCTCGCCGTCGGGGTCGTCCTCCTCCGCGGACGAGTTATCGCTGGGCGAGATGTAGCTGCGCTCCGTGGCGCGCAGGGGCGGCCTCTTGGAGGAGGCAGGGGCCAGGTACCCCCGCTGCAGCCCCCGCAGCTCCATGTCCTCGGGGTCGCTCACCGAGCCGGTGGACATCACTGCGTCCCCCACGCCCACGCGCGCGCGCCTTCCTCCTCCAGGCCAGTCTCGCGGTCTCCGCCTTCCGCTCCCTCGCGGAGGCTGGGGCCCGACCGCGCTCCGACGAGGACCGGACCGGCGACCTGGGTAGAGCAGCGCGGAGCCTCGGGAGCGAGCCCTGCCGCTGACCCGGGGGAGCGCTGCCGAAAAGTCGGCGCCGGGCCCAGGCTCGGCCCGCACGACCGCGAGCTGCGCCTTTTGACAGGGACTATTTATCTGTCCTGCTCCTGCTCGGAACAAACCACCCCCGGCAAAAAAAAAAAAAAACCAGGGGGTTGGAAAGGGGGGCAAGAGGTGGGACGGGGGCGTGGAAGGGGTGGGGACCGCTTTTCTGAGCGCAGAGGATCCGCCAGTGAGGGCGGGTAAGGGGAAGTCTCCGCTGAGCCGACTTTGGGGCCCGGGGCCCGAGGGACCCTCAGACTGTCAGTGTGAGATAAGTGTGCACTGGGCTAGTGAAGGAGGGGACACTTAGAAGCCCCAGGATCGTGACCTCTGCTTCCCTCCCAGTCTTTTCAGCACAACTCTTATTTCCCAAGTTCATCACTCATAATGTAAGACCGCCTGGCCAAGCCTTGCCGGGCAAAATAAACAGCACCGAGCAACCCGCCAATTGCCTCTCATTTCCCCGCTCCTCTCCCTTTGATATCGCTCTATGATCTATGTACAAAGCACTTTTAGGTACATTGGTTCGTTTCATTTTCAAACAACATCTGTGACTTAAATGTTATCTCCACTTTGCAGAACTTGAAGCTAAGCCGCAGAGACAGCTATTAAGGGACCCCAAATCACCGTGCTGGTAAGTAGAAATGGACTCCAAGCCCTTGGTGAGAACCCCTGGCCCCTCCTATTCCAGGCGCCTCCCCGCCGTGCCTCACAGGACGTTGTATCTGCTACTTTCTAGTCTTGAGAGTTCCGTGTGTGATTTTGTTTTTAGTAACACAATGCATAAGGTAGAGAGGATCCTGCCCCAAAGCGTGGAGTAAATAGCCTAGGGAATCGATTACTGTTTTAGATTGTGTCTTGAAGAGCACGCTCATGGGTGCAGAATGCTAAGTTAGCACAAGAGTCCAAGGTGAAAAATGACAAAACAGCACCCGGAATTATCGTGTCCCATGCCAACCCAAAATTAAACACCCTGCCCCTCCCCTCGAAGGAAACAGAACTGCTTGCAGCCTCGTCGTTTTCTAACGGGAAGGGCCTTTGCGATACATGGCCTGGGAATGTGTACTTCATTTTGGGGAGCGACTGAGCGCCTGCTATGTGCCAGCCACTGGGTTAGGTGCCACGTGACTGCCCACTAAGTAATTTAAACAACGAAAGAAAACTAAAACAAAAACAAAAGAGCTTAAACTCTCTGAGGTTGGGGCACGGTTACTCCGGTGAGCCTTCACACTTGACTTAGGAGGTCACTGGTCCTTCCCTACAAGCCCTCAGGCTCCCGAGCCGAGCCGAGCGAAGTGCCAGGAGACGGTGCGCAGTCAGCCTGTGACAGAGCCGGCAGCAGCGTTCAGCCAGCAGCTTCCCTCCGCGGGCTGCTCCGGCAGAACAAATGCGCCCGGCTCCGCGCCTGAAGTGCCACAACAGGTGGCTGGCCGGGGCTGACTTCATCAGTCAGGCATCGTTCCACCTTCGTCTCCCAGGCCAAGCGTCCTTCCTGGGGGGATGTTTCACACAGCTCCTTCTGCTCAGCCCCCTCTGCAAAGGTTTTGTCATTTTGTTGGGGGTGGGGGTGTTGGAGGAACTTCTGGGATCAGTTGAGGAAAACGGTCGTAGGCTCTCAGTTCTCTCCGGGCTGAGAAAACTCAAGGAATATATAATATATATATTATATGTACATATATATAATATATGTATATATGTATATGTGTGTGTGTGTGTGTGTGTATATATATATATATATATATATATATATATATATATAACAGTTTAACAATCTTTCCTGGAGCGCTTGAACTTGAACTTGACTCTAGGTGCGTGCAAAAGAGGGAAGCAATAAAAAGGGGGGTGGGTAGCAAAAAGATGTAAAAAAAAGAGATCTCAGGCTAGCTGTTTGCATCGTCTATTGATGACTTGAAGCTATCAGTATACATAGTCTCACACATTAGAAGCAGGCATATAGGTTTTAAAAATCTGGGTTGTTTATACAGGTGCAGAACAAAGTCTTTCTTTAGAAAGATTAATGGCTGGGAGAGCGCTAGATTTTCTCTAAACAGTCGCAAAAGCTGCACCCAGCCTCAACGCTAAGTGGGTCATGGACAGTTTCTTTTTCTTGAAGGACCCACCGAACCCCAACAATTCGTCCTTATATTTTTCATAGCTCTTTCCTTTACTTTTTCCTTCTTCCCCTTCACTTCCTATCCCTTCCCTTCCTCTCTTTCCTTCCCTCCCTCCCTTCCTTCTTTCCTTCCTTCCCTCTCCATTCTTTCCTCTCCCTCTGTTATTTTTCAAGTTATTTTCTCTATTTGTCTTTAATCTTTCCTTCATTTTTTTCCTTTCCCTCTGTTTCTTTGTAGTTACGTTTTCATTCTTTTGTTCTTTTTTTTCAAGTTGCAGAGCCCTAGTGAAGAATAGGAAATGTATCTTCATATACGTTTCATATTAGTATAAATCTGCAGTTTGCTTTAACATGTCTGTAATGGTATATGACATTTGTCACCTCTTTATGCTTTCAAAACACTTTTACTTTTCCCTCTATCTCAATGATTGCAACAGCCCCATGAGCTGCAGTGCAAGTATATCTATCTCTTTTGAAAGCCCAGTTGTTTTAAGTGTTTTGGCAAGTTACCACACATTGCAAATGAATAATAAAGACTTTATTTTTGTATTTTAAAAAAAGCACACTGAACACAATTCCTATCTGCCCATGCTTTACAGCCTTTTAGATCTGTAACATGAATATGAAGTTGTTTATGGTACCCATTGATGGTCTAGAAATTGTTTAAGATGTTCTTTGTTTACGTATGCAACGAGGGTGGGTTAAAGCTACATTAGAAAACACTAATACATTTAATAATGTCTTCTAATCCTGGCCCTCCTGCTTATTGGCTGTATGGCCTTTGGCAACGTACTTTCTCTGAGGCCCAGATTCCTAATCTATAAAATGAACTGTCTATCTTGTGAGGACAAGGAAGCTTATAAGCAATTGTGTGGGCCAGAGCCTGGCACATGGGAGATCAATAAATGCTAGTTATTTCTCTTACTATGAACTGCCTTGGGCAACACCACACAGCTAATGAGTTGTGGAGGCCCAGAGCTGACCCAGGTTTTGTACTACAGGGCTTATTCTGGGGTTCAGATGGCACCAAGATGTTTCATTTGCTTTACCTGCAGGCTTCTAGGATCTGAAGTGCACACCCCATCACCTGGCATTTTCCACAGTCCCGTAAGGGACCTCACTGAGGAAAAATATATGGGACTGCGTTAGAAACTTTTTCTAAGCTCTCTCACTCTAAGGTCACACAACACTTCTTCAAGCCCCACTCTCCCTGTTTGAAAACTAGGATAATACTTCTAACCCAGCATTACTGAAGGATTGAATGAGGTTGTGGTACATGGGAAAGCAGTATGCACAGGTGTAACACAGAAAAGGTGCTCAATATATGAAAATATTTTTCTGATGTAGATTTTGGTTTTTTAAAAAGGGAGAATGAGGTATGATGATAATTACAGGCGATAGAAAAGGATATTTATTGCCACTTCCCCTTCCAACTCTGTAGTAAGTACTAGGTGAGGAAGTCTGAAGTTCGGAAGATCAGGCGGGTTTCCGGTTTAGGGAGAGCAGGGGCTGCATCTATATTCTGTGAACACTAAGTCAATACAGTAACAAGTAGGTGTTTGAGACATGGTCGTGGGAATGCATTTGAATGGATACAGCCCTCCCCACATGACTTTCCTGGCGGTGTCGCCCCACGGCCTCCTGATGTTCTGAGCTGTCCTCTTGGCTGAGGAAGTTGCCATACCTTTGATCTAGAAAAACAGAGCCTAGATCAACACTGGCCAATATGGATGACACATGAGGCTACTGAAATGTGGCCAGTCATGCACAGTATTGTAAAGTAACACACCAGATATTGAGGACAATATGAATAAAATATCTCATATATATATATATATATATATATATTATGTGTCAAAGAACAATAAGATTTTGGATATATTGGGTTAAAGGAATTGAATTATTAAAATTAAGTTCACCTGTTTCTTTTTACAAAGCGGCTAGAATTACATATGCGGCTCGCATGCTATTTCTGTTGGATAATTCAGGGCTTAACTCTGCAACTGCGCGTTGAGTGTCTACTGTTTGCCGTGGCAGGTGTTGGCGAGCCCGACTCCCGCCCACTCGGAGGGCACATCCTCGTGGGAAAAGGCACGATAATGTGGGGAGCACACATGACATCACGTCTCCTCTCGCTGGCCCCTGCCATCGTGCCTGCACCTCGCCACGTGTATCCAACCTCGTCTAATCGGCCCAGCTGCAAAACACTCCGAGAGCCACTTCCGGTTTGGATTGCCCACAGGCCTCGGTCACCAGAAACTTCGCCCCAGAGAGGGGGCGGTGCTTGATCCCCAGGTGGATGCGCCACCCTGTGGGCATCACCTGGGCCAGGGCTCCCGTGCCCCGTTGTTTGGCCTTTTGGAAGCAGCCCCTGGTGCAGAGTAGGATGCTCAGGCCAAAGACACAGAAGTTACAGGTCATGAGGAGCGCAAGTCAGTGCTGTGCAGGTCATGTGGTGTGCTGGTCACTCCTGGGTCACGTGGGGGACACCGAAGCAGGCCTTTTCCCACACCTCAGCCTTTCTTCATGTACACCAAGCCGGGGCCCAGCTCCAGGTCAGACTCTGCCCTGGAGGGTCACTGAGGATGTCCTCGGTCTTGCAGAATGTCCCCACGCACCTTGCCCAGGAAGATGAGGCATTCCTGGCACTTGGATCCTGCCAGCCACGTGGTCAGGCACCTTTGGGAACAGTCATATTCGACAGGAAGAGCCCTCTGCCATCCATGACTCAACCAGTGCTCCGCTGCTGGTTTACTTAAGAATGGCGGCAAGATTTTTGCCTCCTGCATCCCCGCGAGGCCTTAGTGTGCAGACGACCGGTGCCTGGATACATCATGTCTGCAGAGGCTAAAGGTGGAAAATCCGGGGTTAAGAGTGACAAAGGGGAGAGGGAGAGTAATAAAGCTCAGAGACCTGACTTTCTCTGCTGCTCTGGAGAGGAGAAAAACTCCTCATTGTCTGGAAAACTGAAAATGCACACGGCTTTGGAAAAAAGATTTTTTAAAGCAGTTATCTGTGGATTCTAGGTTGCCGACGCCAAGGCGTAACTGTCTTACAAACCCCAACTGGCAGACTGTGTTTCTCCTGCAAATGGCTTTGAATACCAGGTTCTCAGAGTAAAACAGCCTGGCGCTCAGGAAGAAAAAGCCCTGTGGCCAAGGCCCGTTTGCACAATCCCTGGGCCTCACTGACTAGGAGACGCCTAAAGAAAGAAAGAGCTAGCCTGGACTGTGGCTTCAGTGAGAACAATCTTATTTTAAAAAACCCCTAGAGGCCGACTTTCCCTCTTAGGCAGAAGCTAAGAAACTTGTCTCAGGAGATTTTTCTTTTGCTGTTGATTCTTATCGGCAATACTCCATTCCAGAAACATCCCTTGCAGTGTAGCACACAGCTCTGTCTCCAGTATGTGGTCCCAAGCCTTGTTTGACTTAACCTACGATAGAAGAGAATGACGTCCTGCCATGTGGCACTTCCTGGAAAGAGCCTCCTCTGCTGTGGACATTAGGATACCTCTGCGTTTACCAGCAGAGTGGCTCAGGGCCACTTGTTTGCCTTCTTGGAGCTATTTCTCTGTGTACAGCCTGCCTCCCAGGTGGTCCTGTGGTCGCGAGGGTCAAGGAGACTGTCAGTGTGCAGGCTTTCCTGGAAACGGTAGAGCATTGTACAAGGTCAGTGATTCCGTTATTGTCTGCATTCTGCCTCCCAGGGGCTCACTCTTTTCCTACCCCTATCCCAATAGTAGACCCTGCTCAGAGTCGCTCTCTATTTAGCAGCCTTCCAGCCTCCCACCCCCGCACCCCAACATCCGCTGTAGAACAGCAAGTGAAAACTAAGTGCTTCCTGGCGCCAAAAGGAAGTTCTCATGTAATAGATACTCTGTGGTGTCAGAGAGCAGGGGTTCTGTACACTTTGTCAAACAGCCCCTTACCAGTTCTTCTGTATAACAGAGGCCTGGCTTATTTACATACAAACTTCATTTCCCTAGCTAGCCCCAAGCCCCTCTGACCTCCAATTCTAAAGTGAGCTCTCACAGATGATCTGAGAACAGGGAGGTGTTTTGGGAAATGGGCCCACTTTTTCTTGATTGTTTCCCCACCTTTGGCTTACTTGTACAGCTCTGCCCAATTAGCAGGGATAATGAGCTGGTTAGTTTGCAGAGGAAAACCAAACAAAAACAAGCCACCCTGCTGCATTTCTCTTTAGGTTTCAGTCTCAAAGGAGAACTCCTTGAGGATGTTGCAAACAGAACTAGATAAGCTCTCCTTATGCCTTATTTCATCACTGCTCCTCTATTCAGGCAACTTCCTTAGGGAAGAGAGGAGCAGAATTCAAATAAATAAGGAGAAAATGAAAAGATGAAACTGTAAGCTCAGCGAAGGCAGAGGTGTGTCTTGTTCATCTGGGATGGCATCCCCAGTGTCTAGCAGCTTATGAAAGGCACAACCTAAATATTTGATGATTGGAAACATTGACAAACACATGAACACAATCCAGTCTGCACCCATAATTAATGGGAGACACACTCAACCCATTATTTTTCCTTCATTTGACCAATTCATTTCATTCCTATGTGTTTTATCCTACTGTCAACACTTACAGGGACCCAATTATGTTTCCCATTCGCTGCATAGACTACTGAAGAGTATTTCCTGTTTTCAAATGTCATTCATAATATATCTATCTACTTATCATATACAGTCCTATACTTGCCACAACCCCAGAGTTAATTCTAAATGACTGAAGAATTTCGTTTATTATAACCACCCAGGCAATACATACAATAAAATCTAGCTTTAAATACTATTTGTAACATTTTTCCTGATTGAAGAAATTCAGAACTTTTATATAATTGCAGGGAATCCCAGGACTATAAAACCTCAGATTACTTTATCACGGAGTGGGAGAGAATGGAGCCCTTAAAGACCCACACATTTATTGGGTGAGCAGAGAAGGGGGATTCAGAGAAAGAAAGACCGTGATCAGAGATGAGAGGGAAACCAAGAGAGAGCAGTGTTATTGCAAGCAAGGGACGGGTTTCAGGAAATAATGGGTGGGGACTTCCAGTTGAGATGGTATGGTACAGTCATGTTTTGAAGCGTCCCCTGTGCTCCGAACACATAGCAATGAGTTAACATGTAAAAATAGAAAACTGAAAAGACAGAGCCATGTTCAAAAGCAAGAAAAGTATCTGGGTGGAACCATAACAGACTATTGTGTGGGCTGCAGCTCCTGGCAGGCCCTCGGGGTCTCCTCCAGGCTGGAGCGTCCTGAGCTGAGTTCCTGCAGATAAGGAAGGGGACTCGAACTATCCCATGTGAGGAGGGAGATTGACCTGGTCACTGCTTAAATCAGGGTTGCTGGAGCCGGGCCACCTTAGTGAATGAGCCACTTAGAAAGCAGAGGGGGAAGCAGACACAGCCAACATCTTGGCTCTGTGACCGGTTCAGATTCAACCTTTCTTTTCCCTCTTTTTTTTTTTTTTTAAAGATTTTATTGGGGAATTGGGGGAGGGGAAGAGACAAGTTGCTGTCCTTTTGTTCTTCGGTTTAGTTGTGGAGGATGTCGCTTCACTGGCCCATGTTTGTATTATCATTGTGCTCTTCCTGGATGAGGCAGTTGCTCAATGGCTCATGCCCGCTGCCCGCCAGCCCCACTGCAGCCTGTGCCATCACCGGCGACTCATGGCAGCCCAGCTCCAGGTTGAGCTGTTGTTCACCATCTTAGCTGTAGGGGGCGCAGCGTCACTGGCCCTCATGTGGGATCCGAACCGGGGCTCTGCTGCCCAGAGCTGGTGTCCCAAGCCAACTCCTAACCAACGCTTCACTTGGCCGGCCCTTAATCGTTTTTTTCCTCTTAATGATGGGTCCCACTTTCCTGCTGCTGTGCATGCCGGGTAACTTTTATTTGGATGCCAGACATTGTGAATTTTGCCTGTTGGGTGCCGGATACCTTTGTATTCCTATAAATACTTCATATTATTGAGCTTTGTTCTGGAATTCAGGTAAGTTACTTGCAAATGGTGTAATCTTTTTGGTCTTGCCTTTAAGGTTGGTAGAAGGAATCAGAGCAAGGCTCCTTCTAGGGCTAGTTATTCCCCCTACTGAGGCAAGACTCTTCTGAGCACTCAACCCAACGCTCTGTGAATTAGATTTTCAGTCTGGTTGGAGCAGGTATTGGTCCTGGGCTGGTGTGAGTCCCTGGCATGGTTCCCTTCAATCCTTTTTGGTGGGTCTTCCTTCAGCCTCTGCTAATTTCCTCATATGCTTGTGTTGATCAACTGAATACTCCATGGGGACCCCCTGCCAATCTCCAGAATCCTCTCCCTGGTACCCTCTTCTGTGAATTCCAGCTGCTTTGTTCTCTCGTCTTTCAGCTTCATCTTCTCAACTCAGGAAGTTGGCTTGGGTCCCTGCTTTCTGCTCCCTAGCCTGGAAAGCCCTGTCGTGGCAATAGCTGGGGCAATTCTAGCAATTATAGGGTTTGCCTTGTTCCTTTCCCATCTCTCAGGGCCCACTGTCCTTCATGGCATCGTGCCCCATGTTTGCAGAACCATTATTCCGTGTATTTTGTCTGTTTTGTGGTTGTTTCAGGTGGAAGGCAGGTCTTATTTCTGGTACTCAATCTTGTCCACAGGTGGAAGTCTGTGGAGTAACGCCCTAGCAGGCAACTATTTTCTTTTTGTTTTGTTTTTAAAGGTGTGAGTTAATTATGCGTGCTTCTATTTGGAGGAAGAGAGAAACAATATTTAAAATGTGAGAAACAGGAGAGAGTAGCCATGGGCCAAGGTCCCGGAGGAGGTAGAAGGAGATGAAGAAGAGGAGATGCACCTCTTTGCCTGAAATGAGATGAAAATAGGTAATGGAGGGTGCTGCTGTCGATCAGTGGAGGTTTGTAACAGGAAATTAGAGAGGTTAGCCCCTGAGGTTCTCTGTTTTCTCAGTGGAGTACATGTTGAGGTTGTCAACTTGGACTAAGTGAGTAAGCATAAGGTATCTGGATTAACAGAAGTGGGAAATATGGGGAATAACCATTTTGGAGACTACAAGAAGGGTCTCACTACCTTTAAGGAAAAGCATTTCAAAGCAATGTCAGGGCCCCGGATGAGGTTGACTGATTAGCTGTCACACCCATTAACAAAAGTGAAGTTACCTAGTATAGTGGTTACTAGGTAGTGGCTTTCAGTTAGAGCTAGTTGTATCTTGCTAATAGGATTCCCTGTTTACATCTTTGGCAACAAGGACTTGCAAGAATGAGCTCATTAATGAGCTTGTTAGGTTTTGATGGGATAGAGAGACAATTTAGGAACATGAAGTTTACAGGAGATACTTAGTGATTTAGATGAAGTTTCTATAGTGGGGGAACCATGGTTGCAGCAGGGAGGCAAAATGAAGGCATACTTTTTTTTTTTTTTTTTTTTGAGGATAAGTAGAGAGGGAAGGATTTGCAAAGATGCAGTACTGCTCTGTTACACAAGTCCTGCGGGTACCATTGGCATAGTATATAATGTGGAAGACTGTATTATACTTTTCAGTTGCACCTTGTTTATGTAAAATGGCCTTGAGACCAAAGTACATAAACACATACATACATACCTAAGTACGTACATACGTACATACAATGTTCACAGTTTAGGCTACCTGGGAGAATTAGCAGATTTCTTTATAAATATATCCCATAGCCATGTAGAGCACAGCAAATATTGGGTATTTTAAATCAATGATAAGCCTCTAATTTCTCAATATTAGCCTTAGGGTACTGACTGGCATGTGATCTATAGTTTAATGGGGTAAAATGTGGAATAGGTCCCGTTGGCCCCCCGACTGCCCTTATTTTCTCATCCTGCATACTAAATTTCAATATCTTCTCAAATTTTAGGATAAAGATATTGAGGATAAGGGAGAGAAAGTTCCCTGCCAGAGTCACAGAGATAGTTAGTTGAAGGGGAACTCAGACGTCTAGAATAAGAGTCTTGCTAACATGCCGTTACCTACGATGGTTACTTACATGTATCATCTTGGCTAGGCCACAGTACCCGCATCTTTGGTCAAACATTATTCTAGATATTTTTGTGAAGGCATATATTTTTTTAGATGAGTTTAACATTTAAATCAGTAGACTTTGAATAAAGCAGGTTATCTTTCATAATGTGAGTGGGACATCCAATTGTTGACAGCCTTCACAGAAACAGATTAACTTCCTCAGAACAGGAGGAAATTGACCAGGAGACTGCCTTCAGACTTGAACCCCAACTCTCCCCTCTGACTCCCCCTACACTGCAGAAAATGCTCTTGGACAAAGAATGTTAAACCCTAGAGAATTTAGTGAGCAAGATAATGAGTAATGCTAGGTACTCTGTGCCAAATTGGGAGTATTTAAATTACAAGGGGATAGTAAGTCTCAAGTTGTTGAAATTTAGTCTTCATTTTAGAGGTCATAGAAAAATTAGCCTAGCCAGGGCAGAAAATGCCCCAAGTAACTATTAAACATCAACACATTGACTTTTCATATTTTCTTTTAATATTATTATGCCACTTGGTTGAAAATATTAATTTTAATTATATATTTTTTCACATTGCTTGCATGGATATAACCACTGAATCCTTTCTTTTAATAGGAATATAATTCTGACATCATAAAATTCACCCTTTACAAATGTGCAATTCAGTGG